ACACACACAAGACCTAGTGATCAAAAGTATTACTCTCACAATAATTACCGGATATTCCTTTAGGGCGCCACGTGATTTTAGGTAGGTCTTGTGAGATTATCCCTACAATAAGTAATAAAACCACGAAAATTATTTAACAGTAGATATAATCTAAAAAAAAGAATAATGGAAGAATATAATAAACAAAAAAAACAACACAACTACCCCCTTTTATAGATCTATAATGGGTATTAATCACTATTGTGAGGATTTTAAAATAATATTACAAATATAACTACATAAATAACCAATTAATATGACTATATAGAGCACAAATAGGCACTGGCGGGTAAAACAGATTAAAACTTATAAAGTGAATGATCGAGTTGTCTTAATGTTGTTGCATCGAGTGGTAAGGAGTATGTATATCATAGTATATGTTTTGGACTGCACGGTAACATATAACTTAGCTGCAATCCACGCTGCAATCTGGATGAGTTGTGGTATCAGCAGGCATCCGCGGAGTCGCACCCAATTTTCCTGTACCCTGCACTAACGGAACACGGAGGCACGAGGCAGCCTCCCAGCAAGGAAACAAATCTAGGCTGTGGAAAGTCTACTGCTGACAACCCAAGAGCTCCACAGACCTCTGATGGAAAGTTTCCAGAATGCTCCAAGAGAGAGAGAGAGGAAGAGCAAGTCAAAAGTCGAGTGGGAAGAAAAAAAACCCTATAAGTACACCACATGCATTAGCTACTATCTTTTAAATGAAACAAAGAAAGGTATTTCAGATAGGTACAAACCTCTTACTAAGAGGGTTTTCCTTTGAAGCGTGGTGTATGTCCTCGTGGCAATTATCTAATCCAACGAAGCTGGACTTTTCCACAATATCCAAAAGCCAAAACAGAAAAGAACACACAATGGAAACACTAAATCCCCCACAGGGTATGTATTACTGCTATATAAAACAGTGTTTTCCACCGAAAATAAAATTCACGAGATACACCTCTAGCTGTTAACACGACTTTTTCCCTTTTCTTTCTTTTTTGTCCAACCCCTCCCTCGTTCTTGACCTTCCGCGGAAACAAGCAGTAGTACTCACACAAATCGTCAAAATATCCCTAATTCCAGCAGGAAAGAAACCTATGCGAACTAACTCATCAGAACATTACCGTCCCATTGAGGTAGGAAAATGGGGCCTAGCAACGATTTAAATGCATTCAAGGAAAGAAACGAGTTTAATAATGATGAAAACAATTTTCCCAAACTCGGCTCCATTGTTTTGGATTTGAGCATTAGTTTACGATTCGGTATTTAATATTCAAAATTATCATTTAATAGGTACGCCTATATAAGCTGTCTTTGTTTTGCGGAATCGATAAATTCTATTTAGCCACACTGCCGGCAAGAAATAACTATAAAACCCGCGGTAAAACATCTGGGTTTGATTTGTAAATTTTAAGCAATAAAATGGATAGATAAGTGGCGGCCAAAAGAAACGGAGTTTTTTTTCTTTTTCTTTGAAGGAATTGATTTAAAATTACTGAAAGACTAAATTAATCATTAAAATTATAACACAACATATTCACAAGGCACACAATATCTCATTATTTATTTAGTTCTCCCAGTCAATCATAATTGAAACCGTTACACTCCCCCTCTGCTTCAACAGAGGTGAACTCAAATGTTCACCGATAAGGAAAACGGCGATGGATTCCCGTTATTCATCGGTAGGATCGACAATAGGCTTAAGTTCCTGTACATGCCAAATTCCAGTGGATTTCCCAGAACCATCTATAAGTTCATACGTCCAATTCCCAATTTTCCGGTTCACGGTAAAAGGACCTATAAATTTTGGACTTAATTTGGCATTAATATTCTTAGATGCATCAGATAAGATTTTATTTTTCCGCCACACTTGATCTCCCACTTTAAAATGTACCGGTCTTCTACGTAAGTTGTAAACCTTCCTATTCCTGTCTTGAGCAGAGAGAATCCGGTTCTTCACCTTTTCGAACATCTTCTGGTAACCCACTTTTCTTCTTGTCATTTCCCCTTCAGTATCTTTACCGATGCTCTGACCTTCTAATAGAAATTGATATTCATTTCCATCCCCGACATATTCTCGACCGAAGTTCAGAAAATATGGAGTAAAACCTGTTGTTTCACTCTTTGAAGTACGGATAGCACAACCAATTGCTGCAATGTTTTCATCCCATCTCTTGTGGTTGTCTTTAAGATAGCAGGAAATCATCGTTTTTATTATCTTGTTATACCTTTCTACGGGGTCGGCTCTTGCATTATAATGAGCAGTATAAGATAATTTAGTGTGGTATTTGTTACACAGGTTCTGGAACTCTTTACTACGCATTTGTTTTCCATTATCGCAAATTAGGAATTGAGGTACACCGTACACGCAAAATACCTGTTCTTCTACAAAACGAGTTAAAGCTTTCGAAGTTGCTGTTCGCAAAGGACAGAGAACTACATACTTACTGAAATAATCGCATATCGAGAGTAAATAACAATAACCATTACTGCTTCGAGGATAGGGACCCATGAAGTCCAGACTTATCATTTGCCAGGGTCGGTCGACAGGAGGCCTACTCCCCATGAGCCCAGCTGCAGGTTTTTGTTCAGGCTTGTGTTGAGCACATATCTTGCAAGCTTTGATATATTTAGCCACATCAGCTCGCATTTTCAGCCAAGTAAATCTGTTATATAATTTCCAGTAAGTTTTATAGATACCCACGTGTCCAGCTCTAACATCGTCATGGTGCTGACCAATTATTTCCCGTCTCTTATCCTTGGGAACCACAATTTTCCAGTAATCCGATTCCATTGACAACTCTGGTATAGTACATTTAACATATTTATATATGATGTCACCATCTATTCTCCATTGGGGAAATTTATCAGGTCTGTTACTGATATTAGTAATCATTTTCCTGTACCATACATCAGAAGTGTTGCGAAAATCTTCCATGATATTTTGGGAAACATTAATACAATCTACTGAAATTTCTACATTTCTTGAGAGGAAGTCAGGAACAACATTGTCTTTCCCCTTGCGATGGATTATGGTGTAATCAAAGGGCTGAAGTCGCAGTGCCCATCTTGCTAGTCTTCCAGTAGGATTCTTCAGTCGATTTAGCCATATTAGTGAAGCGTGATCTGTAATAATAGTGAAGTGGGTTCCCTCCAAATAGT